GTCTTCCGTTTCGGCCGAACGAGCCGGTTCAATGGCCAGAGTGCGGTGACAGGAGCGTGAGACATAACGCACCCTTCAAATAACAGCAAACGCAGCCCTAAGCTCTGAAAACCCCGATCGGAAATCCGACCTCATGCAAACATCAGCGTCAATCCTTGATGATGCATGCGATACACGCAGTAGGGGGAGATGTCTAGGGGACGGGTGCAGCGGGCGATGCCAAAGGATGGGTGCAGCGGGAGACGCCAAAGGACGGATGCAGCGGGAGATGCTGAGGGACGGATGCAGCGAGAGATGCCGAGGGGCGGGAGCAGCGGGAGATGACGAGGGACGGATGCAGTGAGAGATGCCGAGGGACGGGAGCAGCGGGGGATGCCGATGGGCGGGTGCGGTGGGAGATGCCGATGGGAGGATGCAGCGAGAGATGTCGAGGGACGGGAGCAGCGGGGGATGCCGAGGGACGGGAGCGGCGGGAGATGGCGAGGGACGGGAGCAGCGGGAGATGACGAGGGACGGATGCAGCGAGAGATGCCGAGGGACGGGAGCAGCGGGAGATGCCGAGGGACGGGAGCAGCGGGGGATGCCGAGGGACGGGAGCAGCGGGGGATGCCGAGGGACGGGAGCGGCGGGAGATGGCGATGGACGGGTGCGGTGGGAGATACCGATGGGCGGATGCAGCGAGAGATGCCGAGGGACGGGAGCAGCGGGAGATGCCGGGGTACGGGAGCAGCGGGGGATGCCGATGGACGGGTGCGGCGGGAGATGGCGATGGACGGGAACGGCGGGAGATGCCGGGGTACGGGAGCAGCGGGGGATGCCGATGGACGGGTGCGGCGGGAGATGGCGATGGACGGGTGCGGTGGGAGATACCGATGGGCGGATGCAGCGGGAGATGCCGAGGGACGGGCGCAGTGGGACACCGACCGGTGACAGGCTGCACCGCCGGCCTCCCTGTCTGTCAGAGCTGACACCCGCCCGGCCGGGAAACACACGCACTGCAGTACAGGGCATACACGGGCCACACTACAGCAGCACGGCCGGCAGGGGGCGTCAAACTGACGGCTGCATGCGAGCCGTCACCTCGTCTGGCTGCGACTGTGGCTCAGTTGTCCACTGTAGACGCAGCAGGACTGATCGGTTCTCTTCACCAGGTGCTGTGTGATTTGCTTTCATGCGCAAGCTGCAACAGTGGGGAGGCAGCGAGAGAAGCGCAGTCGACCCCGCACCTGCGTTCCGGTCTCGCCGCGTCTGGTGGTGGACTCCCCGGGCCTGCGTTCTGGTCTCGCCGCGTCTGGTGGTGGACTCTGTTGCGGATGGAATCATATCTGACTCACAGCACATGCGGCTTGTTCCTACTCTGAATCAGAGCAGCCTTGATTGATACTGAACCGGCTCTGGTGCTAACCCAGAATATAAGCTTTTGACTCCTAACTTGTCTTACGCCAATGTTAAAGACCAAACTAAGATAATTGCACTACTCAAATGCAAATATTCAAGTAGACTCTCTTTAGCATCCTTAAAAATGCACAGAATTGACTTACGCTCCATTCCAAATCTTAGCACCATCTCGTCAGATTTTTAGGGTGCGTAATGTTGGTGACTGGTGGAGCCAGATGCAGCAATGGATAGAACCAGACACGGCGGAAGAGTGGCAGACAGACGCCCACAGCGGCGGGCGATAGTTAGACACACCGGATGAGCGATAGCTATACGCTTACAGCGTAGGAGTGCTGACCAGACACTCACAGCGGAGGAGTGCTTGTCACACACTCGCAGGGGTGGAGTGCTGACCACACGCTGCGGAGGAGTGCATACCAGATGCTCACCAGTGGAGGGACGCTAGCTGAGCACTCGGAGGAATCACAGCCAGACACTGCCAGCGGAGGAGTGGCAAGATGCAGGTAAGGGAGATTCAGACAATGACAGCAGAGCATCGGTACCGGACTCTCGGATCGGAGGAGCGAGCCAGACACTCACGAGGGGTCGGGAGCACAACACCGGGTCATCGACGACACCGGGTCAGCTGCATCTCAAGACCGCGCAGATCTGTCGGCCAGGCTCGACAGGCTAGACTGTTCTGTTGGCCAGGTTCGGTAGGCGGAACAGTTATGTTGGCCGGGCTCGGCAGGCGGGGAAGTTCTGTTGGCCAGGCTCGGCAGGCGGGACAGTTCTGTTGGCCAGGCTCGGCAGGCGGGGCAGTTCTGTTGGCCAGGCTAGGCAGGCGGGGCAGTTCTGTTGGCCAGGCTAGGCAGGCGGGGCAGTTCTGTTGGCCAGGCTAGGCAGGCGGGGCAGTTCTGTTGGCCAGGCTAGGCAGACGGGGCAGTTCTGTTGGCCAGGCTAGGCAGGCGGGGCAGTTCTGTTGGCCAGGCTAGGCAGGCGGGGCAGTTCTGTTGGCCAGGCTAGGCAGGCGGGGCAGTTCTGTTGGCCAGGCTAGGCAGGTGGCGCAGTTCTGTTGGCCAGGCTAGGCAGGTGGGGCAGTTCTGTTGGCCAGGCTAGGCAGGCGGGGCAGTTCTGTTGGCCAGGCTAGGCAGGTGGGGCAGTTCTGTTGGCCAGGCCCCGCAAGCTCAACAGCCCCGTTGGCCGCGCTCTGCCGGCCAAGGTTCGGTCCGGCTACCTCCTCTAGCTCGCCTTTGATACATATTGCTTTCCTGACCGGCCCAGAGACCGGATATGCGAAACGAACCATCGATTTCGCTGCTTGAGCAATTGATTATTAAACTTGGGCCAATTTAAATTCGTCGTGTACGGAAGCTGCATGTGTTTATAGGGTCAGGGGCGATATCATGAAAGGATGGGCGAAGATATCGTTTCGCCGAACCAGAGATTTTAGGAGGTCCCTCCAAAGCCATCATATGTAAATGATCGCGGTGAAGTGGTCAAAATCCATTTTGCCTTCAGGTGGCTCGGCACGACCGCTAACGTAACGTCATAAGGATTGAAAGGAGGGCCCAGTCATGAAAGCTTGGGGTGTAGACGGGTGACCAGGTCACGAGTAAGATAATTAGATAATTTTGACTGAATATTTGATGACGTCAAGCAAAAGTGTAATGCTACAAATGCAATAGCTACCAGATTTGATGATGATAAAGGAGATGGAAGACTATGACACAAAGGTATTATGACTTAGTAATCTGATGATTCAAAGTGAATGACAGTCGAAATACGGCAGGGGTCCGACGTCACGATTAAGAGGGGTGCGAGACACTTAGGGTGGTTGGGGTCCGTGGCATGGCAGAAGGCCGCCGTCATGAATGTGGTCACGAAGGGAGAAGAGGGGGAGTCCGCAACGGACCAAGAGGGTAGGGGGGACCTTTAATGGTAAAGAACGGTGGCTCCTGGGGACAAAGAGATCGAACTGGCATGTTCTCAGCCATATCAGGAGCAGTATCGCAGATGTCCTGGATGCCTGGGGAACCAGGTGAACGTTTGCATTTCGTGCTTGGTTTTGCGGCTGCATTTTTTAAAAACTTGCTTCGACTGTGTTTTAACAAGCAAACATCTGACATTTTATAAAGAGAAACACATGCAACTTCACCATCGTCGGTGTTTTTACCAAACGTGTGTATGCATAAGCCTGGCTTTGCAAGACACTTAAGGGCATAACTAAGACGGTGATGCACTGGAAAGCCCCATCTACGGCGTAGTGCATTATGACTATTGGCTTGACCTGTCTCCCAATGGTATGAAGTGCTGCCCTTGCGCTCCATAGGCGACGTGTACACGACGACGCGCATCGTGTGTGTGCCGTTAGCTTTCTGAATTATTTGTGGATGGACACGACCGAGCCCATCTTTACACTTCTCGCTATCGCTTACTCATTGAATTGGTTTCACATTCGCTAGCTTTCCTTTAAGTTTATTGATTCGATTCTAAAGTTAAGTTGACTACAGATTGTTTTAATTCTGCAAAGTGTTGTCTAGTTGGCGGCAGTGGGCTGATAAAAGCCGACGGGTGCTTGAATCTGAAGTCACTCAAATTGCGTTTGAGTCCTAAAGAACCGATTTCCTTGCGTATTTCCTGTAAGTTATAACCGGAGCTGAGTCGACAAGATTCTTGGTGATATGGCTCGAATGCAGATGTAAGCAGTGCAGTGTATTCTTCATCGGACAGTTTATCTGTGTGCTAAGTCGAATAAATCCGGTATGGCTGGTCTGTGATGGAAGCAAATGTGGTTTAGATGATTTTTCGGAGGCCATAGCCTCGGCTTTCCTCCAACTTTGTACCGGAATCAAATCTATCAGAAACGGTTCAGGAAGACGCAGCCGAACCACATCTCATTGTGTTAGGATTAAAGTCGATTAGAGTCGCGCTGCGCTGTTCAGAGTCATAGTCGAAGCCAACTCCACAGCCTCTGTGAGTCGGGGTCGGGGTCCATGCTGCTGAACTGGAAACAAGTACATATCCGGTTGGAAGCTGGAGGGGATTCCTCATGAATGCGTGCACATCGCCATCGCCATCGCCGAGAATGTCGAATTTGCTAATAATTCAGCTCACGGCTCCCTTCAACCCAGGCGTTCCCACCCAAAGCCCAAAAATTCAGCCAATTACCGGCCTGCCCAATGACAGCAGTAGTGCCTTTCTAGCGATTATCTCCTTCAATTTTCACTCCGGGTTCTCCATTCCCCAGCCGGGCGCGAGTCACCGACCAATCAGCAGCCGGCCAGCACCGGCGTCGACCAATAGGAGAGCGCCGTGCCGACCGCCGCGGCCGTCCCCCTCGCCGGCGGTCGCTGGTCGCCACTCAGCCGCTGTTGGCCGGCGGGGAGCCAGTGCGTGCGGCCGTCGGGACAGGACTGGCACGTGATCGATCACCACAGCTAGTGGGCGGTGCCCGCTGCCCTCCGTGTTCGCCCGGCGGGCCCGGTGTCGACAGCCCAGCGGCGGCGGCGCCGTCGGAGCGCGGCTGCGGCAGGGGAGCGGCGCGGGCACCAGCTGGCAGCGGCCTGGTGCAGGTGACGGGCGACCCATGTGACAGGTGGTCGGGTAGCGCTTCACCCACACGTGCAAGTGAACTCTGCTGCCGATACGCTGCCGATACGCTGTCGATACGCTGCCGATACGCGGACCGTGGCGATTCGGCGTCGTCTGCGTCCCAAGTACCTGCAAAGATCGGAGCGCTGGATTACCACATCAAAGGTGAGCATGGCGCCGGCGTGGCATCTCGCCGCCGCGTGAGCTGGCCGATGTACGATTCAGGAGATGGGCTCTTTATTTCGGCGAGGGCACTCGCCATGCAGGGCTCTTGTGATACCCTGACCTGATGGTCCTTGCTGGTGTCATTTGGAGTCATTTTGCGCAATGCAACAACTGTCGTCGCTTGCGATCGCCATGCTGTGCTGAATGATCGCTCACGAATGGACGCCGCCTCATAGAATGACAAGGGACAAGTTTCTTGAATCTGTCGAAGTTGGACGCAATGGGCTGTATGTGAACAAATCACCTTAAGCCATGATCCCCTCCTCCCATCCTCCAGCCGTGGGGAGGGCCCACACCGGCGCGGAATGTGAACACAAATGTTCATGGATTTGTGGCCTTTATGATGGTCTTTTCGACTTCTGTATGCTCCGAGGCGTGTGTAACACGATGCCTTTGGGAATGTGGCCTGTTACTTGCAGGGAGCAGCGTACCATTACGCGTGCATTAGCTAAATAAGTGAGCGGACTAAATGGCCGAACGTCGTAAGTGTACCAATGATTTGAGCCACAATCGAAGGGTCATCCCTTTGCTTCCTGCACACTCAGCGCCATATTTTCATCCTACTGCTGCTTTCATATTCAATGCAGCTTCGAGCGAAATACAGTGGAAAAGTGCATGCTGGTGCTATCTCCTGTGCCTTAAGGTGGTATAACGGTCCATGTAATTGCGAAACAGTACACAACCACAACCCTAAAGAGACATTATCTGTTTTTTTAGATTGTTAACTTCACATAGATCTTTTGATAATCCCCTTGTCACTGATAACACGTGGCTGGTGCATTACTGCTGTTAGGAGCCAAGTTGCGGTTGCTATTCTGCTGCACGGGTCGAATAAAAATCCACGGTGCAGTGTCGTTACGGCATCAAACTGGTGAGCACAGCAGGCACCATTGGTCACATCCCTGCCCTGAAAACATATCTGACCAATTCCAACTAAATATGGCAGCCGGCAGGGCGAGTTTCCCGTGTCGCGCCGGCCTTTTCTGGTAACTGTCGTCTTACTATCCGGAACTCGAGTTTCTGCACGCAACTCTGCACTACATTCCTGCTGCCTTACCCTGACCTACGCAACCACATTATCTCTAAAACCCTGCTTACGTCTCACTCCAGCAGTGCCCGGGGTTTCACTTCAAGACGCTCATTACAAATGGGCGCTGTATTAATCGCCAGTATGAATGCACTTGCTGAATTACCTACAACATAGATAGGCCAGACGGGATCAGCTGGTCCGCGAGTTCGCATGTTCCCAGACCCGGTAGAAGTGAAGGCACCGTCGCACACGACCGGGGACCGAGCTGAACCGAACCTGCCGAAGGTCAGCTCCGGGGGTCAGCGGTGGCTAAAGTCCAAAACTCGGACGGCTTCAACACCCACTGACGTCATGAGATCCTTCCAAATACTGTCATTAGCATCCACACCAGGATGTTACTCCGAACGCTTGTCTCAATCCCGGATCCTGGGATATCTCCGGATGGCAGGAACACTACGTATGGGGTACGAGCCAATGCATTTATACCGGTACCAAAAATATATATTGCTAATAAGTGAAACCGAACATCAATCCTCAGATAACGCTATCTTTGTCATTGTGCTATCGGAAACAGCGAGCCATATCAGAAATTCCAGATGCACCTTTAGAAGTAAGAACTGATTGTGCACTAAGTATTGTGCGTCACAATGTGCCCAGTAACGCATCCCCAGTTGGCAATATTCAGTATTATGATTAATGCAGCGTTTACATTTGGTGACTCGTGACTGACATGGCGCTTTCGAGCCAGCCTATTTTTGCGGTCAAGCATTCGTCTTTTATGTTTTATTGAAATTTTACATTTACATTCGTATTCAATACACACGATCCCATATGCACGTTACGGACCCTAACAAGTTAACCATACATTACTTTATCAGCCTTGCAACCGTTCAGGGTGGGATGCATATACTGCAGGTCTTCATGACCTTTTTATTACCGTCATCCACGAAAAGAAAACTTGGAATGCCCCTCACTATCACAACAACGCACAGAGTCATGCGTTAACACAAAACAACATAAAAACAAGTTGCGACACTCCCTGCTGAGAGGTCAAGGTGCATCTGAAATGGCTTAAAGGTTGCGCAGAATCGGTGTTAAGCATACATCATATACATGAGACGACAACTAACGATTGCTGAAGTCAGGAATGACCGCCCACTCGATCCCAAGAGGCCCGCTCACATTCGTCCGCCCGCATTTGTCCCTGCGCATTCGTCCGCTCGCATTCGTCCGCGCGCATTCATCCACCCGCATTCGTCCGCGCGCATTCGTCCGCGCGCATTCGTCAGGTCGCATTCGTCTGCATTGCTATTTCGCATGGCACACACGCACGCGGGTCGAAGAGCTCAGTTGGTCAGGTTCTTGCTTGGGTATTTCTGCTGTCTCCAATGAGTCCAACCAGCTAAGCGGGGCATGTTGCGGAATGGACTCATGGAGCCAGCGCCGTTTAACGTTAGCATGCGTCCTAGTCATCAAGATTAGTGGGGTCTGATTGTGACCACTGATGATTGTCAGGCATGAAATGAGACAACAAATAAAATTCTGACAGTAAATTCTGGCTCTGGGTCAAATATGATTCTACATTTAATGGTTGAATTGTTCCTCGCGACAGGATCGGGAATCACCATACTGAATCTGTAATTTCTGCATGACTTTAGGTAACGCGGCTTTTACAGTATGGTCCGGAGAGAGTTGAGGCTCTATAAACAGCCAATGAAAGATTCGGTACGATACCTTTGGTAAGGCTCTTACCGGCCTTTATAAGCAATTATTTCAACAATGTACTGCAGTACATGCACGTACTGATAGCACGTACGTTTATAGACTTATTTTGTGACCGCATTCATTAGCTGTTTTGGACACAGGGAGTCAAGATTAAGCCTTCTGCTCCAGAAAGCGCCGCACAAGCAGTACAACAGCTCAGCGCAGCGAAAAGTCTGCCTAACTGTCCAGCCAGCTGTCTTGCGTTGGGGTGACTACTCCACAGGACACGTATTATTGCCGATAGATATCTTTTAAAATTTAATAAGGGCTTGTTTTGGGGACACACAAGATAAATGAACCTTTATGGAAAATTAAGATACCCGAAGTACAAAATAGGACTTGGGAGATCCGGCTGATTTTATTCCCTGGATGGCAGGATCCCGGGACTGATACAGACTGATACAGTACAGTGCCGTCAGCATCCCGAAGGCGATAGTCGAACACGGCTATGTTAACACCTTGTGTCATAAGCGAGAGGTCCGCGCGAGCTCTTCTGTCATCCCAGAAGCCTTCCAGCCTCATGGGTCGCCTTAATGTTCAAGAATGCAGCCTGACAGCAAGCCTCTAGAACATTACTGATACCACGCGGTAAACGACGCCCACATGTCGCGAATGTGCAGAAAGACCCATCCCACGAGCCATAGCTTCCTCACGGATGACTTTCCCGACAGTTCAAGGGATCATTACTGTCTCTCGGACATTCCTGTTTGGTTCATGTGGGTTCCTCCCAGTCTCGCGCAGCCAGGGAAGGTGCTGAACTGGCTACTAAAGTTACGCACGACGGCTCTCGTAAGTCTGCGCCCATGTCTTGTGGTTTTGTTACAAGGAGCAGCCTATGTGTTTTGCTTAGAAGTTATATATATATATATATATATATATATATATATATATATATTTAGGCGCTTTTAACTGCGGCAAGGCGCATTTAGCTTTGTAATTTGCTTTACTGTGCACAACAGGACCAGACCTTAGCGATCCATCAATGGTCCATTACTGATGGTCCATCAATTGCCCATGGAGCTTTGCAGTTCTATGGAAGAGCCATGCCTACTCTGCCATTACCTGTGTCTGCCCGAATGTTACGCACAAACTACCTTCTAAAAGGACTACAAACAGCATCAGCATTCCGCTTCCCTCACAAATCTGTACTTCAGTCCCTAACGTACTGTAGGAACCGATGGTCCCCGCAAATACACGGTGACTGCGTACACGCGAAGCCTGTCCAGCGCGCCCGGCGGCTGCCAGAGCACGACAGCTCGCGCTGCCTGGTGTGTGACAGACGGCGCGTCAGGGCTGCGCCTGGCAGGCGGCGCGGCCGGGGTCACAGTGGGCAGTGGGGTCACCCGGGCCACCAGCGGGCCGGGCGCGTCGCACACGTGACGGTGGAAACGACGCCTAACGAGCCCGCCGCCTAAATGAGGGAGTGACGCTCACCCCGAGCCAACGGCGCCTCATAATTGGGCAAATTTAGAGTCGTTCCAGGTAATGATACGGACTGATAAAGCGTCGAGGATGGGTATGAGGCGAATGCGGCCTGCTTATCATTTCCGATGGTTAAGGGTGTCAGCCTGTTATTTATAATATCGTTACTGTGTGAACAGCGTTTTTATTAAGTGACCACAAAACGTGTCTTCCATGTGCATGTTTTCTTGAACGCTACTTATATTTTAGCTTTGTAATTTGCTTTACTGTACACAACAGGACCAGACCTTAGCGATCCATCAATGGTCCATTACTGATGGTCCATCAATTGCCCATGGAGCTTTGCAGATCTATGGAAGAGCCATGCCTACTCATGGCCCATGCCCTGATAGGAAGGGGGAGGGATTTGGGGGGTCGATGGGACTCCCCCATCCCTAACGATTTTTTTTCTGGACACCTCTTCGGCCACCCAAACTTTCGACATACTCTGGGGCATGCAATGCGCGTGTTTTGATATCAACAACGCATCCCTAGCATTTCCTATTTTTCAAACGCGACTTGTTTAGGAACATTGCACGACATTCCGCAGCCTACTAGACAACACTACTAGATTAACGGAGCTCTATATCTTAACGATGTGCTCAAAACACATAAAGCTACATGCCATTCTGCTAAAAATTCAACTAACCACACCTATTTAGATTTTGTGCTACTCAGAGACATGGTCTTATACACATGAGCGTGAAGAGCTGAAAAGTATATTTTCAGGAACATTTAAACTTTGACATGGTATGGCATGGCCAATTATTGATGTAGCAAGATAAAGCGCATTACTGCTCACGAGATCTCGTTGAGATCAATCTGTTGGTGTTTTCCGATAGGGTCCTATCTTTCTTAGTTTTCAAATAACATGGGAGCACTCATCCCCACACCATCAGTCCACGTTATAAAAACGGAAATCGGGGCGAGGGCTAAAACAATGAGAGTCTGTGGAAACTAAGCATAGTTACGTTTACAATGCACGCAAATCTTTCGTAGGTTGGCTAGAGTCTTCATTACACGCTCCGGCAGACCCACACAGCTTAGGCTAGCGCATCGGGTTTCATGCGCGCTGGTCTGATCCTGGCGTACCGACAATCAATTTTGTGATGTCCCTTCGCGTAATGGAATGGTAATTCACAGAGAACAAGGTACCTACAGATGTGGCTGAATGAGGGACCAAGGGACTGCTATGGCAATGGCCATTGGCGCGTTTGCACAGACGTAGGAACTCCCTTGCGCGCTAAGGTAACTTCACTTCCAGAAAATACTGAGTTGATTGACCCTACGTCGACACATGGAAACAATCGACCACTAAGTTGGCATTGGCATCCCCACTTCCTGAGAGGCTCCTCCGCCTACGCGTGCGTATGCGTTTGCAGTGGCTGGTTTTATCTGATGCCTCCACCACACGGCACGCTTTGATTTACAACAATTGTAAACTTGGAGCTTTGTAAATACTTACACAGTTTTTCGTAGACGAGTGAGTCCCAAGGCGGAGCGAAAGAGCGCGGGAGAAGGAGCGAGAGAGAGGGAAGGACAGAGGGAGAGAGAGAAGAGAGAGATAGACGGAGAGAGAGAGAGAGGGGGAGGAGAGAGGGGAAGGGGCGGGGGAGTCGAGCAGTAGCTTTTCGCTTCCCGAGGCAGACTTACAGAGCGTGCTAGAGTCGTAACCGTTGCCTGGCCGTCGCCATTTTACTCGAGCCGCGCGCGGGCGGGTGTTGACGTGCAGAACAAACATGCACATCGGCATAGGTCTAACGACAACTGACAGCCGCGTTGCTGTACATAAATGAATACATCACTTAAGTAGTAGTTCTATTGGTGCGTATCGCTCTTGTCTCTCCTGACATTCTACCAGCCTCTTCCCACGTTTTTATTGTGGATATTTTACGACCCACGACACATTAGCGAATGTCGGTGTCACAGCACCTTGCGCCGTTGCTGACATCGGCAGTGCAGCACCACTTCTGCAGCCAGTCCCGAGCCCGCGGCCTAGCGCACGTGATGGGCGAGAGCTCTACCAGCTGAGCGTTCCCTCCAACAACTCGTCTGTTCTCTTAGACGCAGGCTCTCCGGACGCCTTTACTTGCCCAGCACTATTCTTATCTCACCTAAAACCACTCATGTCGTTCCTGACACCACTACCGTCACTCCTGATAACGCTCCTGTCATTTTTGACGTCACTCCTGTCACTTCTGATGCCACTTCCGTCACTCCTGATGCCACTCCCGTCGTTCCTGATACTCCTCCTGGCACTCCTGATAGCACTTGTTATCACTTCTCACGCCACTGCTGTTTCTATAGGCCCCACTCCTGGTGCCTCACTGAAATCATATTTAAATTGTATTGTTCAAAATATATGGGAATGCATCGGAAACTGAAGTTAAATTCTTCCACACAACGTCCATGGTTCTCATGATATAGTTGAAAAACATGGTTGCCCGAGCCGAAAGCTCCCTCACCCTGCTGACGTCACACCTGGCTGCGCTAACCCACCGGCCGTCTCAGCGGTTGCCACCGCCCATCTGTGTTCGCCTGCCTCGAGTCCTCTCGCCGCGCCCCCACAGGCGCCGGCTCGCCACGCCCTCCCCCGTTGACCAGCTGTCCGCCCGCCGCAGTGGAAAGAGAGGGCATGCTGCCGCCGGCGGACCCCACCTGCCCGGAGGCGTGGAGCACCTCCAGCCAACAGAGCGACGCCATCAGGTCAGTGCGGCAGCCGCGGCTGGCCGGCCGCTGCCGCCAGCAGCTGCAGCTGGTCGGAGTCGCCGCCGTCAGCCGCAGCTGCAGCCGCGAGAGCATACTAAACCGCGAAAGCCCATTAGGCAGTGCCTGGTTTTTCTTCTCACTCTTTGCGTGTGTTTTGTCTTGCGCTGATGAAATAACGGCTATTTGATCAGTTCTCGACACTTTTCCCTTCGCACTCCGCAAACGGGGGGCGTTAGCGGACAGGTGCCTGGTGGGGCCGCGGAGGCAACGCCCTCAGCGCATCGACGGAGCGCGTCACCCACTCGCCCCGGGGCAGTCATCCGAGGAGGGCGCCGGCGTTTACGATGGCGTCATAAAACGCCATGACTTGATCCGGGGCACGCGTCGCGCTGTCGCTGCCGTCGCCGCCAGCCAGCGTCGGTCGCGGTCGAGCGAGCGGCACCCGCAGCGACGCCCCCGACACCCGTGTCACAGCCCGGCGCCGCTCAGGGCAGCCGCCGTGAGCAGCGTCACGGCAGCTGTCACGTGATGAGCCCAGACAGTGGCGGATCGAGACCCCTTGATCTATTATAGTTCATGGAACCCAAAGAGGCTATGGGCCTCCTTAGGTTCCATGAACCACAAAAAGGTCATAATTGGCCGGGCGAGCGCAGGTTTTTTAAACACAAAACGGAAAAAAAGGAATTCTTTGGGCCTGCAAGCGACCAGGGAGGGCAGCAAACGAAAGAAAAAAATATTGAGTAGACGTAACTAATTTTTCGTTGCTGCCTACCTGCCGGGACAGTGCGAACGCGAAGCAGCCTTCCACGTTGTCCTGGATTCTTTCGCATTTGCTCGTAGGGATTTGCATCGTTGTCGGGGCCCTGTCTGTTAACCTGCTCAAACACACTTGATCGCACGGGGAGCCCGCCTCATTGGTCTCGGGCACCTTATACATCTTGCTCGGAGGACCTTACGTTGCTGTCGGGAACCCTATACGTTCATCTTACAAGGCACTGTCGATCGTTCTGGGGTCCTCCACATTTGTCTTGGATTCTTCCAGTTCGCTGGAGGAGCCCTAGACTACTGACAGGAATATCTTTGTTGAACTGCTACGGCACCCTCTATCAGTTAGATGCCGTCCTCATTGACCTTGACTTCCCATTTATCTGAGGGCCTACCTCGCTAACGAGGCCCTACATGTCGATCGACTGGGGGGCTCTTGACCACTCCGGAACCCTCCATGTTGGTCTTGGGCTCTTCCCATGAGAACATAAGGGCCCTGCTCTTTTGCCGACAGCCCCACCATGTGCTTGTGATTGCCAACACTTCCATCACTCATTGTATTTCACCTGCTCACATCTTCAACAGCCCGAAATCCATGTGGTGACTATTTGCCTTCACGTTCTGGCCGCAGATAGCAGCGCCACACATGCTCCGACGATTTTTTTACGCGCGATTACTGAGATATTACACGTGGCCGACGCAACACATTTATTTCCCTTGGTTACTAAATTGTTGACACTCGTTATGCCTGCGCAATATATTTTTAATACAGTTTGAATGCAGGCACACCTCGTTACGTTTCATTATAGTCAAAACAAGCACTGCATTAGTCATTAGAGCCAATAGCTTATCCCAACATCAACCAGCTGTCTAGTCACCGGAAACCGGCTTGCCGCAGCCGACCTTGAGATCAAGTATCGTGCTTGATTTTGATGGTATTTAGCAGCCAACTTTAACTCGTTTTGTCATATTTCTCCGAAAGACTTAGCGTCAGAATGGCAGGATCCGCCATGATCTAGAGAAAATGAGCACGCTCCATGTATGTGCACGCCTGCCGCGCCTAGTTTTCTAGGGCTGCGAACGGAAGAATGGTTTCCCGTATTAAGAAAAGGATGCATGAGAATCTTAGAATTTAATGGCCGAGATCCACAGATTTTGGAGGGCCCTAAACTCTACGGGTCCCACAGTATTGCATGGTCACCCCTTGACGAAAGCCTGGGTCCGCCACAGAGCCCCGAGCGTGTCGGAACCGAGTCCTCCGGAGCAGCGGCTCTGTTGCTGCCACTTTGCCTTGGCTCGGTACACCGACGTGTAATTGCTATTTGGTATTTCTTAGCGTTTGTTACTATCATTAAGTTGCACCAGTGGCTTAAAAATGCGTGTCCAGCGGCGTTAGGTGCGAGCTAAATCACGTGGGCACTACGTGTCCCGACTAATTTTGAAGTGTCATCATAGGAGTCGGCCGCAGAACACCGGCCGGCCTATTGTAGCATTGAATGACACGAAGATATCTCTCTGCAGCCTCAACGCAGATGAGAAACCCGGATGTAAAGATTGGCAATGAACGAGAACAGGTCAACTTCGGTTGTGGGCTCCAAATGAACTCAAAAAACTTCTACCTCACGGTTTAAAGTGCATAATTTTGCAGTTGCCTAGTAAGGTGGTGGTATGCCTGACTAGGGCAAATACCATTGGTACAAAAGCAATATTTTCGTGCAGTGAATTGTTGTTACACCGCCTTAAGAATTAAAAAGGCATTAATGCTTCATTTCTCTCCAAATGGACAATTAACATTGCTCAAAGTCGGGAAACACCAGTAGGTCTAGCATGTTAGATTTATCGACGAGCTCCATCCCCCTGATATTGCGACCCTAACCTCTGTCCAGTTGACTTAAACAAATTTTCTCACCAGCGTTTACCTGATAGTTGACAGGTGGGTCCTTGCTTAAGCTTACGGAAAGCACTTATCACGCATGTTTGACAACATACTCTTACTCATAATGTCATGAAATAATGCCCACAATGCATGATTACAGCATGAATAAATGCCAACATATGTTATCAATATGTTGAGGATTATATCAGAATAAGCAACTGGTCTAACAGGCATTATTACGGCGCAGTCTAACATAATTGCACCGCCAAGTGATACGCATAACAAATCGGTTCTTCGTAGCAAATATGAAATGTTAAGGTGTGGGAAATGCAACGAGTCTCAGCCTAAAGCTTGGTTCGGACAGGTTTATGCTATTTGCGTAAGCAAGAAAGACTTCAAGCTTTTGGTCTCTGGGCTGATGAGTTCAGAAGTCTCATGCTGATATTAGTCAATTCCCAGTATTCCAAAGAGTGTTGGTTAAGCAACGTTGCCAAGCAAACATTAAAAATGTTGTCAATAATCGACGTTTCAGGTTTTGCTTGTGCTCATGGGTATGGGAGTTGTGACAATAAGCACAGTTTGAAATGACGAGTATTGATCCACCTTTTTCTGGCCTTGTAATTGCGAGTCCAATGCTCTACCAGCTGAACCAACCGGAAAAGGCCTTTCTGCTAACCCGAAAGCTCAGATAGAGCACTGTACTCGCAATCAGAAGATCCTGGTTGGAATCCCAGCAGTACCAATAAGAGAACTCGGGCTGTGACGCATGCGACGCACGTACTCGTGTCTCATTCTTCGTCTACAAGCGGTTGGCGATGGTTGGAGCTTTACATCTCTTTGTTGGCCGTTGGTAGATGTTTGTGTCTCTTTGGTGGCCATGAATAGAGCTTTGGGTCTCTGCATCTTTTTTTTGTCCCTCCTCGCAATGTTTATCTCAGCGTGCCCAACTGACCGAAATCACCTCCAAGAATATCCGAAAGGCACAAAAAAACAAGAAACAACAAACGTGTTCTCTGGAGGAAATCCGATCTTATTCCCCCGCAAGACTCTTAATGATCTTGCGCGTGTTATGTCAACTTCCATATGACCACATGAATCATAGGCATAGTGGGTACTTCATCAAATGAAATAGATGTTTCATAAAACGGTTTGATGAAGCTTTACGCGTTTTAAAGCCGAGTCAGGGAAGACATTGTCATGAGCTTAACTGCAATAAACCTGTTCATTTAAACATCGCATTTTGCGATAGTTCGGGGATAATCATCAGCATTCCCTTGGTGTGGAATGTGTAAATGCTTTTCGAAGCGTTGTTGCAATAACACCGTTTGAGGGATTCCAAAACACTCCAGAAAATCGCGCAGGCACTAATCCTTTTTATCTACGTGGGCTTACGGTCCTAATATAAGGTGGCCTTGCTGGTCGATGCGCCTGTATTCCGTCTATATTCTGGAGTTCTGGGGCAGCAGTCTATATTCTGGAGCTCTGGGGCAACAGCCTATATTCTGGAGTTCTGGGACAACGGTTTATATTCTACAGTTCTGCAGCAACAGTCTACATTCTAGAGTTCTGGGGGCAACAGTCAGTATATTCTGGAATTCTGGGGCATTAGTCTATATTCTGGAGCAGCAGCCTACATTCTGAAGTTTTGTGACAACAGTCGGTATTCTGGAGTTTATGACAACAGTCTATGGTCTGGAATTCTGGGGCAACAGTCTATATTCTGGAGTTCCTCATCAATGACTGATCTCAGGTATCTCTGACCGCATCTGACACACACCAGTGTTTACATATGCCTAGAAGAGCGAGAGTGGACTTCGGGAAAGAAGCGGTGTGCGATCATTCCGAAATGTTCAGAGCACTGGTGAAGCATCTGCCGACCAATGGCGTCCGTGTATCTCAGGCATCTGAAACTACGAGTTAAATAATTTGTGTATGTGCCCGTTCCGTACCAGCTTCCGGGACGATTCCAGTTATTATTCTTCGTTATTATATTACAGTTATTCTTCGCTTTCACATAGAATTCGGTGCGTCGCATTTGTGGGTGACATTTTACATAAACGGACCAATGAATCGTTTGAACTTACTTCTTCGGATAACCCTCGCTCATATGGCTCATCGCCCCTCTCTTCCTCATTGTCACATGCGTAAGTGACTACTGTTCGAGATGGACTGCGCGTAAGGGCACCTCGCGCGGGAACGAGTTTGTACGGAACATTGTGGTGATGGTTGGGCACAGCTCGCGGAACAAGATCTTTTAAAAATGGATGTGACCTGTTCATAATTGCCTCGATAGTCGACGCTCATATTGATATGTATTACGACTCACTTTTGCGTCATTATGCGATGAAGTATTTCA